TTTTTTTTTTGAAAACATTGGGGGACCAGGGCCCCTTAGCAAACAATGTAACTCCATCATTTAAATAGGAATTTTCAAAATCAACACATGACAAGTGCATTAACCTTTTTAACTCCTAGAAATATTGATCCCTTTGACATAGATGATCTGAATAAAATAAAGATTTCTTTGAAAGTAGAGTATGGTGTAGGTTAAAATCAAACCCAGTTGATGAAACTTACGTACTTGGGAGATTGTTATTGGCCTAGAATGACAAAATACGTATGACAGAAGCAAAAGATATATAGCACAAAACTTAAAATAGAGAGACTAGGGGAAATTAGTAAATGTAGTCAGGGTTCAAAGTATTGTCCAAGTCGGATACAACTTGGCCCTTGCCAAACGGATAACGCTACCCGATACACAAATCATAAGTCTCATCTGACTTGGCATTGATTGTGACACATTCAGTAAAGTCAGTCAAACTTGGATACGACTTGGTCGCCTTGGTTCGAGCATTAACTGACTCGGTCTAAGTGAAACTAGAACCGAAGATCACTCGCCTAAACAGAGAATCAAGGCCCTTTTCTCTAAAACAATAGAAAAGGGACAAGAAAGAGAAAGAAAAATCGAGGCTCACACGAANAGTGAAACTAGAACCGAAGATCACTCGCCTAAACAGAGAATCAAGGCCCTTTTCTCTAAAACAATAGAAAAGGGACAAGAAAGAGAAAGAAAAATCGAGGCTCACACGAATTTTTTGTGAAATCCACATGCAGAGCCAAATGCAAACAATTTTGTGTAAGGAGAAGAAGAAACTAAAAACATAATGGGAAAATCAAAGCCAGTATGGTTCCTTCTCGTCCTACTCTTCTTCTTCTTCTACGATCCCGCAGCCAAAACCAACTGAGATGTGCATCAACTTTTCGCCTGTCAGATTGAAGGTCCAATTGCGAGCCTTTTCCCTCCTAGTCGATTTCCCTCTCTCTTTCTCTCTCTCTCTCTCTCTCTCTCAATGAAGTTTGGAATGGGGTGATTGGCATTCTTTGGGCATTAATGGGTCAATATTCCTTTTTTTATTTTGTTTTGGATGATTGCCTTTTTTGGTAAAGGGACCACTAGACTTCCATTAAAATAATAGATTGCAGTATTGTTTTTCTTAGTGTTTTTAATTGTTTCGGATGGTTACCTTATTTTGGTAAATAGTTTTTTACACTTACTTTTATAATAATAATTGGGTATTGTATTGTTTAGTTTTTCGGGATTAATTGTATAGTTTTGTTTTAATACATAAAAAAAGTAACTTATCTATTGCATTAACTTAATTTCTTATATAAATTAATTTACTTAATATGTCATGAAATGCTTTCATTAAGCACCAATGAGGATAAATGTTTCCGGTAGCACCATTTCATTTTATTTCCTATAAATTTAATGTGTTAGATGATTTCTTTTGTCAAATCATATATGGATTTTGTTATTTGCAATTTTTAAAAAGTTTTATAATTCTTTTATAATTTTTTGAGCCTTCTATCAAACATATTTTGTGTATTGGTTGATGAGTGTAGTGTATTTGACTAAAGCAAGAGCTTTACTTGTTTTTTTCTTAGTTGGTTTCAATATCTAAGGAGAGTATATTTATCCATTAGAAAAAAAGATGGAAACGATTTATTCTGGTACATTGCATCTTCACCAAATGTATGCACACATATTTAGACATCTAAGAATGCATTCCCATGTCTACTAGTATTTGGATACATCATTTAAAGGGTATAGTTATTAAAATTTACTGAACCCCTGACAACCACGGTCTAGGTATGTCGATTTCAAACGGTGTGGGTTCGCAATCTAGATCACCATAATGTATGATCTCAAATTGTACACATAGGACAAATATAAAATATATATATTAATTAACTACATACCAAAGTGACCCACGATCTAAGTGACATTGTGACGGAATTGGCTTTATAGTGGAAGCCTATTGCAAATAGATACTCATCTTTTATCATCCGCTTGAACCTGCAATTTCCTCTCACGAAAAGAAAAAAAGAAAGAGAAATAAAAAGAAGAAAAGTTTAATATCCTTTTGTTACTGTGTTAGGCATTATGCATGGGAGGCGTGGAGAAATTCATGAGGCTTTGGCTGCTTATATTAATGCTCTTTTATTGGAACCGAGTTTCGTGCCTTGCAAGATCTTGATTGGTGCTGTGTTGTCTTCAAGGGGCTCAAAAATGTTGCCCGTGGCAAGAACCTTACTATCAGATGCATTGAGGATTGAACCTACCAATCGTATGGCTTGGTATCACTTGGGATTAGTTCACAGGGATGATGGGCGGATAGCTGATGCTGCAGACTGTTTCCAGGCAGCCTCCATGCTTGAAGAGTCTGATCCCATTGAGAGCTTCAGTTCTATTCTTTGACCATTCCCATCAGCTGAAGGTTCAAACATTCATTACTTTATTCTTTCTTTGTTCCACCCTTATATTTATTGTTGAAATGGCAGGTATCCTTAGGGACCAATACTTGGAAAGAGTTTTGTGGATGCCTTCTGTATAGTATCTTTCAAACTTTTATTCTACTGTCTTGTATCCATCTTATGATCACTAAGGCTGGAAAATAAAATAGGGTTTTTTTTGGGGGTGTGGGTGGGTGGGTTAACGCATATTGAGCTTAGGCTTGGGAATCTAAGTTATTGAGTTTTATTTTTCTTTTAGACTTGAGAAAATAGAATTTGTAGATGGATTTTTTGAATCATACATTTGTTCTCTTGTTGCCTAATCTGAAAATTATGTTGTTCGATCAATTGATTCTCTCTGAAAATGAATCATGTATTTATGTTCTGTGTGATGTACCATTTGTAGATTTTGTTATGTTGTCTTCTGAAGGAGCACAGTTTATCCCTCCCTTCTCCTTTAATTACAGTTGGCAATCTTCAAAAAACTGCCATTACTTCATCATTTATATTTGTTTCTTTGAGACTTAGCNCTCTCTCTCTCTCTCTCTCAATGAAGTTTGGAATGGGGTGATTGGCATTCTTTGGGCATTAATGGGTCAATATTCCTTTTTTTATTTTGTTTTGGATGATTGCCTTTTTTGGTAAAGGGACCACTAGACTTCCATTAAAATAATAGATTGCAGTATTGTTTTTCTTAGTGTTTTTAATTGTTTCGGATGGTTACCTTATTTTGGTAAATAGTTTTTTACACTTACTTTTATAATAATAATTGGGTATTGTATTGTTTAGTTTTTCGGGATTAATTGTATAGTTTTGTTTTAATACATAAAAAAAGTAACTTATCTATTGCATTAACTTAATTTCTTATATAAATTAATTTACTTAATATGTCATGAAATGCTTTCATTAAGCACCAATGAGGATAAATGTTTCCGGTAGCACCATTTCATTTTATTTCCTATAAATTTAATGTGTTAGATGATTTCTTTTGTCAAATCATATATGGATTTTGTTATTTGCAATTTTTAAAAAGTTTTATAATTCTTTTATAATTTTTTGAGCCTTCTATCAAACATATTTTGTGTATTGGTTGATGAGTGTAGTGTATTTGACTAAAGCAAGAGCTTTACTTGTTTTTTTTTTTAGTTGGTTTCAATATCTAAGGAGAGTATATTTATCCAATAGAAAAAAAGATGGAAACGATTTATTCTGGTACATTGCATCTTCACCAAATGTATGATCACATATTTAGACATCTAAGAATGCATTCCCATGTCTACTAGTATTTGGAGACATCATTTAAAGGGTATAGTTATTAAAATTTACTGAACCCCTGACAACCCACGGTCTAGGTATATCGATTTCAAACGGTGTGGGTTCGCAATCTAGATCACCATAATGTATGATCTCAAATTGTACACATAGGACAAATATAAAATATATATATTAATTAACTACATACCAAAGTGACCCACGATCTAAGTGACATTGTGACGGAATTGGCTTTATAGTGGAAGCCTATTGCAAATAGATACTCATCTTTTATCATCGCTTGAACCTGCAATTTCCTCTCACGAAAAGAAAAAAAGAAAGAGAAATAAAAAGAAGAAAAGTTTAATATCCTTTTGTTACTGTGTTAGGCATTATGCATGGGAGGCGTGGAGAAATTCATGAGGCTTTGGCTGCTTATATTAATGCTCTTTTATTGGAACCGAGTTTCGTGCCTTGCAAGATCTTGATTGGTGCTGTGTTGTCTTCAAGGGGCTCAAAAATGTTGCCCGTGGCAAGAACCTTACTATCAGATGCATTGAGGATTGAACCTACCAATCGTATGGCTTGGTATCACTTGGGATTAGTTCACAGGGATGATGGGCGGATAGCTGATGCTGCAGACTGTTTCCAGGCAGCCTCCATGCTTGAAGAGTCTGATCCCATTGAGAGCTTCAGTTCTATTCTTTGACCATTCCCATCAGCTGAAGGTTCAAACATTCATTACTTTATTCTTTCTTTGTTCCACCCTTATATTTATTGTTGAAATGGCAGGTATCCTTAGGGACCAATACTTGGAAAGAGTTTTGTGGATGCCTTCTGTATAGTATCTTTCAAACTTTTATTCTACTGTCTTGTATCCATCTTATGATCACTAAGGCTGGAAAATAAAATAGGGTTTTTTTTGGGGGTGTGGGTGGGTGGGTTAACGCATATTGAGCTTAGGCTTGGGAATCTAAGTTATTGAGTTTTATTTTTCTTTTAGACTTGAGAAAATAGAATTTGTAGATGGATTTTTTGAATCATACATTTGTTCTCTTGTTGCCTAATCTGAAAATTATGTTGTTCGATCAATTGATTCTCTCTGAAAATGAATCATGTATTTATGTTCTGTGTGATGTACCATTTGTAGATTTCGTTATGTTGTCTTCTGAAGGAGCACAGTTTATCCCTCCCTTCTCCTTTAATTACAGTTGGCAATCTTCAAAAAGCTGCCATTACTTCATCATTTATATTTGTTTCTTTGAGACTTAGCCTGGGAAGCGCGAATCACTAAACTTATTTAAACCATACAATAACGGAATGTTTGTGGAGGCGAACTCAAAATAGGTAAATTATCATTCTCATCAAGTCCAAATGCTGCTGCTATTTGGAAGACAAGACCCGAATAGACAATTGGAAAATGGTAACATCCCCCCCCCCTTCTTTCTCTGTTTATGGACATTATTTTGGGTTGTGTGTTGGGGGTGGGGGTGGTGGATTTGTTGCATGCGTAAGCAGTTGTCATTGCAGAGATTTAACTGGTTATTGCCGTCTCTTGCTCAGCAATTTTTATAGATGATTTTGAAAGGCTTATTACAAATTCTACGTTCTTGTCTTATCTGTTTTTAGTTGGATTGAATACTGTGTGATCGGAAACTCACACGGGGTGTGTTTGGATGACAGGGTTGGACTCGATTGAAGATCTTAAAAAACATCATTTCTTTTCCAATCTAAACCCACCCATTTGCCAGCCGGTTAGGATTTAAATGAGTATATCCAATCCTGTTCAGTGTTTGGGTAGCACACAACACAACTGTTAGTCCCATGGATAAGGGTGATGTGATATAGTTTCATTGACTATTATGTTCCTAGTTTATCCAATCCAATACTAGGTTTGGTTTATAAATTAGGCACTAATCAATTCCAAACAAATTTATTTTTTTTATTTTTATGTGTGGGTTGTCCATGGTGAAACACACACAGAACAGTGCTAGAACCACCAATTAGTTTCTGTGTTTTTCCATTTCACAAGAAATCCAAGAAAGTCCCAAAAATTCCCTCAATATCTTCCATCGTGTCTCTTTTCACAGTTGTTCATGGCTTTATGGGGTTTAAATGAACTGTCTAATTGAGCAGCAAGAAATTTCTGGAAAATTTTCTTATCAACAATTTTGAGTACATGGGAGAGTAATATAAATATAAATATCCAGCTACAAATGGATGGGAATAGACGTTGGAGGGTACGAGTAAGACTAATGGCTTATGGCTTTGGACAAATATGTCATTTTAACCTATATAGGCACGTTAAAGTTGACTTTGACTTTTCAAATCGGGGCAGAATAAACAAGAGTGGAATTTTTGGTGTACTTTTTTATTTACCAAACGCGGGATAAATGAATTCTACTTATTTTTTTTTTATCCTATCTTGCTAATGTTACCTCCCTTTTAACCCACGATCCAAACATACCCACATGTCATAAACCTGAGATTCAGTTGTGAAGAGCTGCAATATTAGATAGAATATTAGTCTATAGGTAGTTAAGAGTATTAATAATGTGGGTGGCTCATTGAGAATAACCTTGGTTGCATTGCTACTTGTGGAGCACATACAAGTGAATAACCTTAGAACAGGGACCATTGTTTGCATAATGGTAAGAGGCAACTGGACTCAACTGAATGTTTCCTTGTGCTAACCACCTGATGCGGTTTACATGAACCTTAGATGTTCTGTGCTTGAGATGTAACTGTAAGCATAAGTATATTGTTAATTCATTCTTTAGATTATAATCGTGTTCGTTATTGTTTTACAAAAGAGGGAGGATGTATTGGGTTTCACACCAACCCTGATCTGCTGCTCGTCTCCAAAAACTTTCAAATAATATTGTAATACGTTTAGATTAATCTTATCATTGTATAGGACGTTTGGATCAACGTTGGGACAGTATATAAATTTACAATTCTAGTACCAAATTTATGTTTGGATTAAGTAATAGCGTATGATATTAAATTAAAAATAACAAAATAAATATTGAGGGTAAGAATTTGCATTGTGTGTAATTTTAATATAAAGATGTGACTCTAAATTTGCAACAATAATAAAGTCATTGCATTTTTAATATACTGGTTAAAAATAATACCACCTACTATATGGTATTAATTACTACTTAATATTATGTGTTAAATAACAATAGTGAATTGGGTCAGGATTATTTAAAATTAATATTGGGTCACAATAATCTCATCTAAACTTTAAAATTATATTATTACCATTACCCCTTAATACCTAAACTAAACATACCCTAGAGGTACAACACCCTTCCACGAGAAACATAAATGCAAAAACATATATGATCTAAAAAAGGCCTCTTAGTGTACGATGTACTCGTTCATGTGAGCTCTAAGAGAATTAGATATATGTGTTTGAAACAATGGATTTTTAATAATTATTTTTGAGCAATTTTGAGTTAAATAAAAGTGGGTGGAACTAAGTTTAAACCTGTTTTCCTCTATCATAAGGTTAACGTGATATATTTATTTGTTTAAAACTATTAAGTATTGAGTGAGAAATTGTTTCAAATGATGGAAGCAATTAAGTTTAATGAACCAATGAACCTTTAGTCTAATGATACTTCTTACCTTGTGAAGACTTTGTCTTCTTGAAGTAAAAGGTTCAAGCCCCCTCCCCTCTCCCTCCACCTCCCCCTCGCCCCCCCCAAAAAAAAGGAAAAAGTTAAGTTTAATGAAGTGTAGTGTATAAGGCTTGTCCCACATTTGAAGAAGACCAAAATTTTTGTTGGTTAATATATTCCTAGTTGGCTTCATGGGTTGAGCCCCAAGGGGACCATATTTCTGTGAGCGAAACGAGCACCTACATAACCTTCGTTATCACATGCCTTGCCACGCCACAACCACGATTGGACCGGGCTTGGGCTTGGGTCTTGGGTCAACAAGATCCTATCTTTTTGGAGAAAATTTATTTGATGCGGTGCGGGTTGTGGGTGAAACCAAATGAATTTAAATTTGTATTATAGGTTTTTTCTTTCCAACTGAAATTTAAATATCCAAACAAATTTTAAAATTTTTTTGTCCATTAATTATTTGAATTTGGTTACAAAATTGATTTGTTTCTGTTAAATCTAGATGTGCCTTTTCCTTCTTTGTTACTGTTCAAATTAAGGGTGTGTTTATTCGATTCAAACNTTAAATTTGTATTATAGGTTTTTTCTTTCCAACTGAAATTTAAATATCCAAACAAATTTTAAAATTTTTTTGTCCATTAATTATTTGAATTTGGTTACGAAATTGATTTGTTTATGTTAAATCTAGATGTGCCTTTTCCTTCTTTGTTACTGTTCAAATTAAGGGTGTGTTTATTCGATTCAAATAGATTCAACGAACAGTGACATCCTATGACTCTTTAGACAATTCGAACAGCCACCAAGAGTATATAAGTAGGCTGGCTTACTGCCATTTTTTTCACACCAAAAAACAAACAATAATCTTCTACATACTGCTACATCATTTCTCTCTTTTTGCATTACATTTTTATCACACCAAAAAACAAACAATAATCTTCTATTTATTATTACATCCTTTCTCTCTCTCTTTTTGCATTACAATTTTTTGTACAATTCAAGTACAAAACACAAAGTTGTGTTTGTTGGAGTCTTGAAAATTGAAGTGCTACATCTTCAAGAACGAAATCTGTTTTATCTTAGGAAACAATTGCTTATCAACCTTAAGCATCGAGAGCGAACAAATCTGTATGAAAAAAACTGTGACTACATAGGCCTCGAATTATTTTTAATTTTCTGGATTCTTATTTATATTATTTATGTTCTGCATCGTAAGTGCATTTATATTTTAACATTCTATTTTATTTATTAGCTTGCATATAACAATATACTTAGTGATTATAAAATTGTTATAGTAATTGTGATTATATATATATANAATCTGTTTTATCTTAGGAAACAATTGCTTATCAACCTTAAGCATCGAGAGCGAACAAATCTGTATGAAAAAAACTGTGACTACATAGGCCTCGAATTATTTTTAATTTTCTGGATTCTTATTTATATTATTTATGTTCTGCATCGTAAGTGCATTTATATTTTAACATTCTATTTTATTTATTAGCTTGCATATAACCATATACTTAGTGATTATAAAATTGTTTTAGTAATTGTGATTATATATATATATATATATATATATTGGATAACAATCTTAAAACATATCTTGTATTTATTGTATAATTAGTTGTTATAATCTAAATCAGAATTTTTTCTCTTGAGAAATTTAATGGCTTGGAATTCCAAACGTTTTTCAACAAAAGATGCTTTGCTATCTTACCACATTGAATTTTGCAAAGTTTCTAAATGAGGATGTCTTTGCATTTAGTGAAAATGAAACTGATTAGGAGAAGTTGATTGTTGTGGATGCTTGGAAGCATTTGAATTTCTTGTGNAGTTGTTATAATCTAAATCAGAATTTTTTCTCTTGAGAAATTTAATGGCTTGGAATTCCAAACGTTTTTCAACAAAAGATGCTTTGCTATCTTACCACATTGAATTTTGCAAAGTTTCTAAATGAGGATGTCTTTGCATTTAGTGAAAATGAAACTGATTAAGAGAAGTTGATTGTTGTGGATGCTTGGAAGCATTTGAATTTCTTGTATAGAAATTATATCTTGAATGGACTAGACAA